AATTGTTGATATCAAATTGAAAAATATCATTTTTCCAACGGTAATCTATTATGAGATCTTTACAAAATAGCTACAAATAAAAAAAACCTCAGATTTGTTTTTGACAATTATTGGACTTGCAATGTTTCTGTTAAAGTGGAAATAAATTGTTAATTGACAAATGTATAAATAACTGGAAAGTCACCATAAACATTTTTTCACGATGAATTATTATTCATTCATTTATCTAGTAGGTGCCAGTTTTTTTCATTTCTGAATTTTTATTTTCAAAGAATTGAAATGATATTCATTAATTGGAAGTCCAACGTTGACGTGATTTGCACAAACGAAAGTACCCGTTTTCAGACGTATATTCAACCTTCTGGGAAAATTATAAATTTTGGTCCTACAGTTCCGAAACGTACCAGTTCATTTCAAGAAATTTCCTCCTCTTCTTGAATCTTTTTCCGAATTCTGAAAAAACCGAATTGTTTTTGAGGTATTTGCAAAAAACCAATCCCATATTTTTTCAGTCAATTGCTCATAACTGTCGCAATCTTTGCAAGCGGCATTATTTCCAATGGAACTATCTATGTTTCAGATTATATTTGGTATAATATCACGAATAATATAAACGATATAATTAAACCAACAACAATATGCTGAATGGAAGTATTCAATAGTTATGTATTAACATTGTTATTGTACAGTCCATAGCAGTCAAAGCTTCATCGGTAAAAATGGGATGATTAAATGTGAAAATCCGTTTTCACTTTCCAGAACTTTAGCTGCATACACGTGACAGCACGTTCACAACTGTCGTGACTCAATACAACAGTGTATGGGAATTTTAAAAACATCACGAAGGAATTCAGATACAAAAATACAGCAAGGACACCCTGTACATATATTGAAACACACAGCTTTGACCGGAAACTACCAAATAAGAGTGGAAAATTCAAATATTAACATTCTTACATCAAAACACATCGAAATACGAAAAACTGATAACAGATATAGATTAGAAAGAAATGTCAGATAAAATTAAATTAACATCTGTGATGAAAAAACGAAAAAGGCCTGATAAACTAATTGTTATTATTTAGGAATGATGTAAAATTCAAAATGTATTATTGTGAATCACTTCCTTAGAAACTGACATCAAGTGATTCTTTTGGAAAATATTGATATTTACATAGAAGTGAGGTTAACTGTTTTTATACGAAACTATAAAATGAAAATGTATCTAAATTCAAGAGCTAATGTTAAATTAGTAGAATAGATAATTTTCCTGAAAAATAATTTGAAAATTTGTATATGTGAAAATTGATAGATGGTGACTAGGGGAACGAAATAGATTTTCAATTTTTTTATCAACAAAGATTCTTCTTGAGGCAAGGAAAGAGACGCCACGCTAAATTTTTCTCTCTCTAAAATTTGAAATATATAGTATAGATATAAATTAAGAAGTGAAAAAAAAATATATAACCCCTTTAATTTAAACAGAATAGTAGTTAATAAGGCAAATACTGAAGTGAGGCCCCTACGCGAAATTCAGACAGACCACAAGGATCATATGCCAGAAATGGACCAAAATAAAGAAGCAACAAGATGCAAATATCCTGGTTGTAAAGGGAAAACTCATGTTTACTGTATCAAATGTAAAATTCATCTCTGTTTTGTCAAAGATAGAAATTGTTTCAGAAATAATCACCAATAAACTATTCAATCCAATGATATCCGTATTTAGTATTGGGTCTACATATCCATTATAATGGACATGGTTTTTTTTCTTGAAAAAATGTAAAAAAAAATAAAAGAGTGAATAAACACCCTTATGGATCATTATTCTGTTGGAAAACCCCTAAAAATAATATTTTTGAACTCAAACCAAAATTCGGGTCTGAAAGGGTTAAATATTATCTTTCCTTCATTATTATTTTCTACCACATAGTAACGGCTACATCCATCAATTTAATGAAAAAAGTAATTGAAAATCATATTTTGGTTTTTAAATAGGTAAATGAGCGAAAAAAACATGATGTTACTATACAAATTGAATATTTAAGCTGTACTCTAAAAGGCTTTTGAGGTTGCTCGTAGGAGAGCAGATGATTAACAATAAAACGATTTCTAAAAGATTTTTTCAATAATAAAAGGCAAATTTTTCAAGGAAAGTCTATTATTTTTCCTCAGTCTCAATGTCACTGTCTTTTATTTTAATTTATAGCAAATAGACGCCAAGGAACATTCCATAGCTGTAACTCCCCGTTTATATTTCCCACAGCAACTATATTGTTCCTAAAAACGAAATAAGGTTGACATAAGTTATCTATTGTGCAAAATTTTAATACAAGTTCTAACCTCCTACAGTTCATTGCAATACTTGTTGAAGTAGTCTTTTTTATCTTTTCACTGGTAATATTCTCAATTGGTCTTCCTCTTTGCAAATGAAATATTTCGAAGAAACTGTTCATTCCACAACCAGCTACTAATTTTTCTTCATGTGGTATAAAAGTCAAATCATTCATGAGATGTCGCAAGAATATTACTTGAGCAGGTTCTTCCTATCAATAAAAATAAATTATCTTTTCTGATATAAAAATATTGCTGTAATAGATGAAGGTCCAACTACTTAATTAGGTAAATACATTTTTCTTTGACTATCATCAATATATGACCGTTTCTTGTTAGATAATTAACTCTCTACTTTAGAGGCCAATCATAGATGAGCAAACTTATAAATTCACAATAGTGTTTCATTCACTTTGAGAATTAACCTAATTCAAAATAATTTCTTAAACATCAAACTTAATCATCAATATATAGTTTATGAATTTCATTAGTTCGAACTTCCCTTGTCTAATATTATATAAAATGATTTGAAATCCCTAAAAGAACCAATACAAATTAAAAATTAAAGAGAATAGCTAAAAATAACAATTATATTGAGCAAAAAAATCCTGAAGTGAAATTACAGTGAAATAAAATCCAAGAAAAAAATAGAACAATCAAACAAAAAATTAAAAAACCAAAAAATTAAGAGATTCCAAGCTAAGTTACTTCTTCGGGTGATGACTGGACTGATTCCTCCGAGAGATGACTATTTAGGGGTTATTCGAGACTTTCACTTATCTCCTCTTTCTGTTTCACCGGTTTCGCGGGAGCTGACCGTTTAGCGGGAGTTGGCCATTTTTCGCTTGATTATGGGTTTCTAGGAAGGTCTCGCGAAGAAACTAGACATCATCAAAAATAATCTTCAACGGAATGGCTACTCCAAAGCGGCTAAAAGACAGCAAGAGCCTCGCAAGGGAGTGAAGCCGTCACAAACAGTGCTTGCACTTCCCTACATCAGAGGATTATCGGAAAGGATAAGAAAAATTGGGTCCAAGTACAACATAAGAACCTGCTTCAGATCCGAAAACACTATCCGTAGCAACCTCACAAAAACCAGGCCACCAAACGCGGACTGCGATTCCAAGAATTGCATTTACCGGATACCCTGTGAGTGCGGAAAATCCTATATCGGTGAAACTAAATGGCCATTGAAAGTTCGCATTGCCGAACACAAGAAACACACAGCGAGGGGAAACCAGCAAATCAGGAATAGCAGAGCATGTTTGGACCATCAAGAGTAACATCGAGTGGTCCCAAGCTGAGATCATACACAGGGAGGAACATTGGTTTAGAAGGAAATTCAATGTATTCAGCCAAGCTAGCGTAGAGATACGCAACATATGGAAACCCATAATCAAGCGGGAAATGGTCAACTCCCGCCAAACGGTCATCTCTCGCCAAACGGTCATCTCCCGCAAAACTGTTGAAGCGGAGAGAGGAAATGAGATAAGTGAAAGTACTCGAATTACACATAAATAGTCATCTCTCGAAGGAATCAGTCCAGTCATCACCCCAAGACGATTGTGGATACTAACAATCGAAACGTCGTGAAGTAGCTTGGAATCTCTTAATTTTTTGTTTTTTGTTTGATTTTTCTATTTTTTTTACTTGTATTTTATTTCACTTCAGGATTTTTTGCTCAATATAATTGTTATTTTCACCTTTTCTTTTTAATTTTTAATTTGCATTAGTTCTTTTAGATAATTCAAATCATTTTATATAATATTAGTCAATGAAATTCGGAACTAATGAAATTCATCATGAAACATTATCAATCACCTTTAATGGAAATTTTTAATGTGCCAAAAAAAATATTTTGTGAAAGTTCATGACTCAATAATAAAATTAGAATAATTCAAAACTTGTATACTTTTATATCGCATTTATTTTCATTAACGATTATAGTGTAGTTTTAAGAACTCGGGATTGAACTTCGCGGTTTCAAAACCTACTGACAACAGAACTTTCTTGAATTTTTTCAACCACCCAATTTTCAAACCATCTGAAATTCAATAAAATAACAAAAATAGGAAGTATTTCCAAATGATTTTTGAGTTAAGTACTATTTAATTTGCGAGAAATAATGGACATTACTCCCTCGAATGATTTACAACAAATCTTATTCTCACGAGTAATGACCACATTTCTTTCTATTTCACCGTCTTTTATTGTAAAGAGATTTTCCTTGGCCTCCTCTAATTAAAATGTTCTGAAAGAATTTGACCTTTTACCTGTCCAATTAGGTAAACTCTGATTTCAGCATCTGTTCCACAACTCATAAACATTTCGCTACGATTGGGAGAAAAACTAACGGAAGTCACTTCGCCCTCATGTGGTAGGTAATATTTGAAAACAGGATCTAATAGAGGTTCCTCTTTCGTGCTCCCTAAGAAATAAGTACAATATCTCAGTAATTTTTTTTTTGTTAAATATAAAACAGGAACAATATGGTTCTTTATCTATTCTTCTTCTATAACATTTGTTAACTGCTAATGCCAACATCCTTCTTGCTCTTCAAAGATCAAAATCCAGACATATTTTTTAAATTCGGGTTTTAAGGCCGTCGATATTTGGAATTTCTTCCTGACGTTTCGCTGGCGTGAGTGGCTAAATTCCTCAGATGTTTATACATCCTGAGTTAATCTCCGGATATTACGGTTGCGTAACGCGTATTTATGTTGACACGGGTAGTTTGGTGTGCTAATACCTGTACCTTGATTATGTAAATGTATTAGCATATCAAACTACCTGAGTCAACATAAATACGATTTACGCAACCGTAATATCCAGTCATCGAATATTAACTCAGGAGATATAAACCTCTGAGGAAGCTAGCCACTTGCGTCGGCGAAACGTCAGGAAGAAATTCCAAAAATCGACGGCCGTCAAACCTCGGCCGCGAAAACCTCAACCGTAAAACCTGTTATAGTTACCTTTAAGCTCCGTTGTCCCCAGTACAGAACACTGAACTATGTGTCCACCTTCCAGTGCAACAATAAACATATCCTGAACATGTTTAGAAAAGTCAAAACAAGTGACACCCCGCAACGATTTTGATGAAACATTTTCTGGGGATTCGTTTTTTCTATGTATCGAATTCAATACCGGAGTTTTTACTCTGTACCTAAAAAAACATAACGATACCGTTATTTCCTTGAATGAGGTTGACTATGTTTCTAGCTGAAAGTTATAGATTCAAATTTCCACTGTCTGAAAAAGTGTTAACAGATTTGAAATCAATGAGAAGAATAATAATGAATGAAATATTGAATATACTAAGAATATCAGAACCAAAATATTCAGATGAATTATTTAAAACAATATATATAAAAAATAGAACGAAGTAAATAATGAGTATGAAATTCAAAAACATAAGAACGCTAATTTGTAAAAAAAACAATTATTTTACCAGAAATGAATGGGTTAAACAAACCCACGTAACACATATTTTAATTCGAATATGATATGTAAGTTAATGAACAAATAATGAATATGATAATATATTTTTTGAAGAATAGCAGAAGATAGTCTCACAGAAATAAACTAGAATTGAAAAAATAAACAAAAATTATAATACTCTTAATGTAACGACCATATGCGATAAGGATTAAATGGTGGCCGGGTTTTATAGTTTGATTGGAAGTTCTATTCAATGAAATGGTTTGAACATTTCATCAGTTCGGACTTCCATTGTCTAATATAATATAAATTGATTTGAAATCCCTGAAAAAATAGAAGTCCGGACTGATTAAATACACCACGAAATATTGTCAACAACCTTCAAACAAACGGTTCAAACATATCAGATATCTGAATTTTTTTGTGACGAGTTTCATGATTGCTAACAATGAGATATAATACACAGCCACCACTTTATTTTTATCAAATATTGTCACCACTGAAAATGAAAAATTTCTAACGACCACATCAGAAAAAATTCCTGACACATTTTAAATATCGATCGGATGGTAGATGCTGGACCCACCCGGTGAGATACCATCGCAACCGTTTGGGCAGCGTGAAGTTGCTTTCGGGCTAACGTTTCGTTGCTGTGTCGCTGTTTTCGGTTTCAAGGGTGGGAATATAAGGAAAAATGCATGATTACGCTCCTAGGGAGGTAAAATAGCTCCTCAATCGGATCTCCTCAGGGGCATCATCCTACAGAAGTTATTCGAAAACCACTATTTTTGACAGTCAGCAGGATCTTCCTAACATCAGTCCACAGAGGCCGTCTAGCAACTTCAAAATCGATTTCTGCAACATCAGATGACTCAACCCAAATATAAACACAGTGCACCAACATCTGCAATCAAATAGTCCTCATATTCTTGCACTCACAAAAGACAGTGCTTCAACAAACCCCGTCAATTTTCTATAACCCGGTTATGATTTCCACTCCCGATTCAGACGGAACTTTTGAATATCTCTTTTTATCAGAAGCGATCTATCCTGTCAACGAGAAGAAATGTTGGAACCCCGACATTTTGATGTTATGTGGTTCAAAATAATATCACAGAAGATCACCCAATTCATATGCTGCGTTTATCGACCATACCTAGCGATAGACAATATAGGACACGCTATTCTCTTTACTTGCAAACACCATTGACTTTCTGCAAATCAATGGATGGAGAATATGCTAGTCTTCTGGATATATACCAAACAACCAATCCAGAAATTTACACAGTCACCGTAAGGTCTCCATTGGGATCTTCTGACCACAAACTCATTTCAGTGTTGAGTGTCCATTTCCGAAATTTTCCCTAGCTGGATGTTTTTTCATCTCTAAAGATTCATCAACTTATGCTTCTAAAGTCACGAAAGTTATTCTATCATCCATGAATGCATATATTCAGTTTTCAATGAAACGACTTTCCAACGGCAAACCTTGATTCAACAAAAATTGCGAGCAAGCTGTCGCCTTTAGAAATCTCGCCTATCGGCAGTGGCGCAAAAATCCCACTGCCGAAAACCGTACCAGGTTTGTTAATGCTCGCAACAGCTGCAAAAATAATGAATAAATGACAGCAAAAAAACGTCACAATCAAAGAATTAGGCATAAACTAGACCCAGAACTTTATAAAATCTATAATTCCATCCCTAACTCAAGCCGATGGTTCAATTGCAACAACAACTTTCACTGGTTAGGTGAGATATTTACCCTTGAATTGGGATGGATTGAACTATGTTTTATGGCTATAACCGATAGTCATTTTCCCTCCATTTCTGTTTCCAGGATCAAAAATAGGCCACCGTAGGACAACCAGCAACTAAATGAAAATAACTTGCACTGTTTCTGTTCTTGAGTCGTTCCATTAGCCTACCATTCTGAATGTTTCATTATAAAATTAAGTCGTAATTTTTCTCGCTCGTTCTGCTTCCGAGAGAAAAAAAAATTGGGTTTCCAGTTTAAAACTGATATCGACCTTCACGGTTATGATCAAAGTCAAATCTAAAGTCATCGTCGAATAATCATCTTGTATATTCTTGTATATATCTCGTGCGATAAACTTCAACTATCTCGTGATAAAAAAAACTTCCTATTTAAAAACACTGACTTCGATTTTCAAATGATTTGTGAGGTCATAGTTAAGGTCAAAACAAAAGTTTTTTCAGATTTTCAATTGAACGGTACACTTTTAGGTCAACTGCCTGTACATAATTTCTTTAGAATTTTCGTTTCATTCAACTATTTCTTTGTGAAATGTTACAACCTGAACGATTATGGCTTGCCTCTCTAGTTTTGATCCCAGGTAGGCCTTTGCCTGATCCGTGTTAGAAATTGCCCGTTAAAAAGTGGGATCTCGTTAACTCTTTGCTCGCACAATTCTCCTTCAAAGAGTTGCGATTCCTAGAGGGACGGCAGCTAGACAACTGTGAAACCCATTGTAATCCCTTTTTTTTAATACATAAAATATATCTATTTTTCATTCAATGAATATATTTTGAATTTTCAGATAAAAAATAATGATATGGCTCAAATATTCTGACAAAGTTAGCATCACATGATGATGACTAAGACTGTCTGACTGTCTTTATTCATCTCCATGCACTAGCAAAACACTCATCGAGAGTTTTTTGTTCTCGTGTGGAAAAAGGGTTTTCGAAAGATACCCTTGTACATTATAATATTTCCGTTGTAAACGAACAACGGTGTAGTTTTGAACAAATAAATGAATATGTGCACAAAGTAGTGCTTCAAGGTGAAGAAAAATTAATCTTTAAGATAGATTCGAAGAAGTACCTACCTACCTAACTTTTAACAGTAAATTTGGACTGGTTATATTAAAGTTCCATAACTTCAACAGTCCATCAGTACTCGAAGTGGCTATCAGCAAATTTTTAGCAAAGTCTACATCATTCACCCATGATAATTGTGTGATTACTTCATCATGTGCATTTGAGACACTTATGATTTCTTCCCCATCTTCATTTTGAACATTCCAAATAACCACACCCCCTGAAATTCAATTTTGATATCACAAATTATAATATCCTGGTGATGATATTACCTGAAAATGTAGATGCTGCAAGAATGGCAGGATGCATTGGATGGAATTTCAAGCTCATTACACAACTTTCAGTATTCAAGGTTTTTCTGGGACAATCAGGAATTTTTTCTTCTCTGTGAAAAAAACTATTTTCATTTCAATCTTGAAAAATGAACAATTTACCTAGTCAATGTATATAGCGTTACAAAGCCAGTGTGGTAACACCATGTACTGTGCTGAAAATTACAAGCAACTGCTATAGTTTTGCCAGTTTGATTCCAACTGATAGTTGAAACTCTTTTTGGCATGGCCTAAAAAAACAAATATTACAGATGTGAAGTACTGAAAAAAACAACAAATACCTTATCCCCACTCTCAGTTTTACCGCTAACATTGATTATTTGCAGAAGTTTACAATCTGCTTTGTTTGATTCTCCTTGTAACCTATAACCTCTGAAAGCATGGGAGTTGTTAGCTTCGTCCAATTCCTTTTTGACTCTAGGATACACCCCAGACAGCCAAGTAGCTAATTTTTGCATGTCGGTTTCTGAAGTTACTTCAGTCGAATCATCTTCTTCAGTTTGAACCTTTCAATTAATGTCAAAATAGAAAGAAATTCTAAATATGTCATATTTCTCACCTCCATACTGGTTTTTATCAAAGTATTGGTACCTTTATCTGAAAATTCATTCTCTGTTGTTTGCGAACTGCTTTCGGATATTACTCTGCAAAGAGAATAATGAACAGAAAAGAAAAAACAATTTTGGAAATATACTTCTTCACTTTCCATCTAGATTCAAACCCAACACATTCGTTATGCTTTGTTCCAAACATTTTCAACCAGAAATGTTTGGCCAAATGAAGTATTTCAAATTTGAAGGGTTTGAATACAAACAAAAGAAATCAATTTATTTTCAATACTGCCAATGGCAGAATTTCAAATGACCCAAACAATAACACTAAACAATAGCTTTTTGTTTTTCCTAGCCTAAGTGTAAATTTGAAGAGATTGTTTAAATGTATATATTATCTATTTGAAAACGTTCTGTATAAATATGTAACACTTGAAACCGAACAAAAAGCTATACCAATGGTTTACCCATGAAATTTTTTCATACTGTTTCTGCAAATATCTGAAATTGATAAGGAGACAAGAGAAAGAGTATTTTCAGAACTGTCATTTCTCAACTAGCAAGTAGCTAGTTGAGAAATAGTGTATTTCCACTGATTCCTCTGATAATTTAGTTGCTGGAATCAAAGTGGTTGCTGAAAATTGCTGCCAATTTCATATTGGTATTGTAGGTAGGGAGGTAGGTATTTAAGTACATATATAAAATGTAGATATTTATTTATCTTCTTCACTTATAAATATATTAAAACCTCGTAATTATCTAAGTTCCCTTAGAATACCTCTTCCAAAATTTTTTCACATCATCATGTGCCGATTTATTTATAACTAGAGTTCTTTTTTCCTTGTTATACCATATAAGACATCCATTTGATTTTGTATACTCTTTTAAAACATTGAAGTCAGCTTGAGAAAGAAATTGACTATACAAAACACCTTCACTATAAGTTAACCTATTTCGTTCGAGTTCCCAAAGCTTAATCTGATCTACGACAGTTGGAGGTAGAGGTTGTTTCACCTCTGCTTCTAACATTTGGGGATGTGCATGTTGTTTGAGAAATCCTATTATTTGGTCCGCTGTAATACCTCCTCGGAGTGCCTGCCTAACCGAGTCACGAGTTATAACACCCACAACTAGATTTGGAAATCTATACATGAGTTCAGTGAAAAGACCAACAAGAGCAACCTGCAAATTCGAGTCTGTGTAGGCATACACTCTATAATTCGTTTCGACTACAATGTAACCTTTAGGAGCATCTTCTTCTATATCTGGTGCTGCTTTACTTTGGCTGCTCGTTATATTCAATGCTAGTCTTGTTGGGTAAAAACGCCCAGCTTTACGTTTTCTTTGGTATACTAAACCAAATTCCCTAAGGTGTTGTAAAAATACTGACAATCCTGGACTCATTCCTTCAGTACTATAATCTTTCCCAAGAGTACTAAAACTAAGTTGAAATAGGAATGTGAGACATTCCACCAGATCTAAACCTCGTTCTTCCACAGTATCCAAGTATTGAAGTAAAAAATGCCACACTTGAGCTTGTCTATCTAACAGCAAAAACTGAAAGCCTTGTCGTGTTATTACAAGACTGCTATCATCTGCATCACGTTTCATTAATCCAGCATGGAGCAATATTCGTACAGCATCTGCAGAAATACCTTCTTGTTGCTGAGATCCGACCATATAGTGTAACACACACTCCCAACGTTCTTGAGAATAAGCGTCTAGAAAAGTTACATCTCTAGCTTTGCTATCAACTTCTAATGCTGATGACATACTCCATGCCTTTCCACCTCCTAGAAGAGCCACCTTCAATTGCCTTTTGAATGTTGGGGACAGAATCCATCCAAGAAGTCCACCAGGTATGGCCGCCTCTTGCCAAACTGACAACTCCGTTAATACTTTGCTGACATAAACGTGTTCTTTAGAGAAGGCTTGGGAACCCCATGAGGCCACAACAGCCTGTGGAACTGGCTGTTCCACAAAAAGTATTCGGATGACATATTGCCTTGCTAACTCTGGCAGTTCTCTATATACCGCTAAACATATCGTAGGATGGTTATACAGTTTCTCGAGCACATTTGGGGGGCGAGATTTAAGATAATCATAGAGATTTTTACATTCCAAATTGTTTTGTTTCATTAAGGCGGTCTTTTGACTTGATGGTCCTACGCCATTATCTGCCATTTAAATAAATTTAATAAAACTGCATATTTCAAATCTTCATTCAACGAAACAATTTCCGTTAATTTTCTGATCAATGTTTTTCAATGTAGTTGATGTTGAGATTCAAAACCTTTCTTTTTGATTTCTGTTCAATTGACTAGTGACACCAGTGACAGCAGACCATAGGTGCGAGGTGGGAAGGTGGTTTTGTTGAGAATGTTCCAAAAATAACCACTTTTTGACTTACACTAACCGGAGTTTCTGGCAGTGCCTATCTAAAGGTTATGTCGCTGGTATCTAAAAAATATATTGAAACATAAGGGTTTGGTCAATTGTCGAGTGTGTTATTGATAAGTCAATAGCTGAATTATTTTCAACGGGGAAAATTGAAATCATACATTGTGACCATACATTTTTCAATTATTGAATCTTGTGGTATTTGAAATGAATAGTGAAATTCACAAGAGTTACTTTTGTGTTCTGATGAGTCGACGGAGAAAAATGAAAATCACAGAGAGCCCCTAACATTACGCCCCTAAAAATTCGTTGGTTAGTATTCAAATATTTGGTTTACCAGTTTTCAGGAAACTGTCTTCCATGTAATCGGTTTTTCAGTAGTACCACAATAGTGGTGATTTCAGAACCACTAAGCCACATTTTAGGTACCTTTGAAACACATCTTAAGCACTGTATGCTAATCCACATAAGTCATTATTATAAGGCTAGAACGCTGTTGTTTGTTTATTTGGTTTCCTTCAGAACAGAACCTGTTCAACCGTGGAAAATTACAGTTACATGCATACACTGACTTTGGATTAAAGGTGACTTCTATCGGAAATGTTACAACTATGTCAAACGGTAAAACAAAATCCTAGCAGTTGTCTGCAATGTTTCAATTACTCAAAAAAATAATACCTTCTCAAAATTACAGTTAAACAAGTCAAAACACAAGAAAACCCATTACAACAATTTACATTTCGCTGCGAGGGTTAGCTGTTTGATGATACCTGCGCCCTTACCGGTAGAAATTTTTCTTGGTTGTCGGTCTGATTACGATTTAAGAGGGGGTATTTTGTGACGTTGTGAGGCTATGCCTAGATCAACGATACCGTGACCGTATCCGAGAGACCGAGAACCGAGAATACCTATCGGACCGTATCAAAAGAAATTGTGTCTCGTTAGAATATGTAAATAATGGAAAATGGAGAAATTATCAATAAAAAATATGCATGTATTAATTGTGGAAACTACGTGAAATCTCTTTATAAAAAATATAGTGCAAATGTACTGAAATTAACAGAATGTGTACGTTACTTTTCATGTGGCTTTTTAATCTTTTTAAACTTTCTAGTGTTGTTTTAGGATTACTGTAGAAATGTAGCTGACAAATATGTAGAATATGATACGGTTATTATTATCATAGATTTGATTTTGCTTAGGATCATCGCTTACAGGCACTTTTTATTTAATTTTAAATTTAAGGTACCTAAGTATCATTATCTATATATACATTTTGTTAACCTATTTTTATTAATTTTTCAGAGCTACTGGAAATTATCTCTAGTATTATTAATTATAGAAACCTATTCAAACTGGATAGTTACAAAAAAAGGAACATCCAAATTTGAAGTGAATGATACTAAACCATATTTGCAAGAAACGTATATATATCTTGATGACTTTAGATTTTATAAAATGAGTTTGATACTTGCAATAGGAACAGCAAGTTTTATAATTCTTACGTATTTTCTAACCAAGGTTCATACATATTTCTATGCCAGAGAACATATTGGATTCACTTCAGTATTTAAAGCTATTACACTCTCTAGTTGTGGAATGTTTTTACTGCTCCCATCATTAATATGGGATATAAGTGTTCATGAATATCATATGATATTTATATCACTTTATACCACCCTCTCTCAGTTAATAGCTCATAGAGGTTAGTACATAGATCTCCAATCTGAAAATATATTAATTAATGATTTCATTTTCAGCGCTTTGCGGCTGTGAAAAAATGTGGAGTATAATCATAATATTTTCATCATATATTCTTAAGACATATGTAACAGAATACTTTGGATCGTATCAACTACTTTCTATGATTAAAATTATATGACTGATATGACAATGAATTGACATTAAATTGCATATTTCAAACTTATGTTTTCATTTTTGTGAGTATGGCCGAGCGAAGGGGATCCAAAAATGGTATTTGGATATGGGATGAATTCAATAATTGTCTTACACTTGCCAAGTGAGTGTTATTCCAATATTTTTGAATGTTTCGGAATTAGTTGTAATATCTGGGTATAGTTTTCAAAAAATGATCTAACATTTTTTTTAAGTATCACTTTGAAAAAATGTTGTGATGTATAGATGTGTCTCATAAACAAAAGCTGTACAAATGATTTCAATCCACTTTTCTAGGAGACATAACCTTGGTCAGTGACTGATACTAAACATAATGCTATTTTCTCTGACTGCACTGGAAGTTGCCTAAAAAATGTTTCTTTTTGATTATTAGAGGTCAACACTATTGTATAAGATTTTTAACATAAATATATAGAACCTAAGAATAGAGAATAGAATAAAATACAAAATTATATGAGAGGGCCCAAAAGCTTTTTTTCTATATATAATATAATTGGAACTGAATTTTTCACATTTCCACTCAAATTAATTATTCTGGTTGTTGTTACAACTAACAATCCAAAAAAACCTAATTCAAATTAATTATTATTTTCTATCATGCACCTAGGCATTGTCTCTTTTATGATTTCGGGAGTGTGGGCTTCCTGTCCCCACTGCTAGACATTATTCATTCGGAAGACTACTGAATTAGAGAGATCTTAACTGCAAGTATTCAACAAAGGAATAGAGATAGATAATGTTCTATGTTCTTTACTCTGGGACAATAGCTGCTCACTGCATATTGTCTGATAAGTGCTAAAATTGCATGATCTCATTAATTTTCAGCTTGGACAAGTTGAGACTATCAAGGGTTATCATTCGTATGGGGAACATTCAGCTAGTTAAAGAAATAGCCCAGCCAGATCTATCTTTTTCAACAAAATCGAGCTCATTAAGGCTGCAACCCTTTTTGAAAAACTTTCCAAAAAAAACCTCCCAAAACATTCAAAAGAATTCGAACTTGCTTCTTCTTAGAAAAAGGTGAATCTACGAGATCGACAGGCAATACAAACCCTGTTCGAAGATAAATAATAAACGTGAAAAATAGGGAGAATCATCTTACCCACTTATTATTCATATTGAAAAGTAATTTAGCATTAGGGTCGATGCCAAAAATTGGCTCTACAACAGTTTCCCTTCAGGACCCTTGTTTCTTTTTGAGTTTTTCATATATAGATTCCATAGATTCCACTCAATAAAAAACCTCGTAACTGAATACAGAAAGAAGGGAATTCAGTAGTTGTGTTGAATATACGAATAAATGATTACGATTAGAGATATCTTCGAGTTTTTGAAAGGTCAGGAATCAAAGAAATAGAAGACTAATACATTTTCTAAAACAACTAGAAAAACAAGAAATGGAAATGTGATGGAATCGGCCGATACTTGATGAAAATCCATTGCGTATTTAACGAACACTTTATTGTGAGATTTTCACTAAACAGTTCAGTAAAGACACGCCTGAAGAAACTATTATATAGCGAAACACGTGTTGCGTTTTTGTAAAACTGTTTGAAATCTCACAATAAAGTGGTTCTTGGATAGGAAATAGAAATAAAATAGAAGTCAAAAGAAGCAATTAAAAAAGCTAGAATAACAAGAAATTAAAAGAAAAGTAAAAATGAAAGAATTGGAAACTGGAAGAGTAAGAAAGGAAAAAATGATCGGGAAACGTTTCTGAAACAAATGAGTTAACAAAAAGAAAGACCAACTTCAGTATACCCACAGGGCTGGCTAACTGATAGTACCTCTTGGGCAGAGTTCACCTGTTTCAAGGATTATAACAACCGACAGTCATCGTAACCATGTACGTCGTGCACAGACTACAGAAACAATCAGTATTCTGTGACGTTGTGTTTGGACTCTGGTTTTTAACTAGTTGACTTGCAGTGACTTGGTTTTGAGGAGCCTCTTTTATCTTTGATTTATGGGAATTAGTTCTCTGTCGATCTCATAGATGGCGTATTCGTAAGTAACTTCATAAACAACTTTTGTGATATATTCAAAAAATAACTTAAAAACATCTTGAATTGAAATCAAATTTGTAGGACATACCTGCAAATCAAGTTCATAAATAGGTATTGGTTAAGTCTGCAAATTATCCCAATATCCAATTTCACATGAACCTGCAGCTTTTTTGTAATTAGACGACATGTATATACTCGACCAGTAGTAATTCTACAATTCTTGTAGAAATCAGTGAGCAGCAACTTCATTCTAACCTATTACATTTTTTCAGTTGAATAAAATTAATACAGATTACATTTTCTTTTTTAGCCGAGATCAGAAAGATGTTAACGCTGCACAAAGGCTATTTTCAGGTGGAAGTCCAAAGGCATCTATTAACTCTTCTGGTATAAACAAATATGAAGCCTTCAAAGAGGCCGTTGGGACTCACGTTCAAGTATTTGTGGAAAAAATGAAAAATACCAGTTTAATTTATGTCAATTTTTCAAATTTAAGATCAAGTTTCGTAAACACTACCAACGAAAAGAGAAGGTTACCGAAAAGAATATAGTCATTCTGCAGGACATTAAAGACGTAGCAATATTTTTGTGTAACATCAGCCTTCTGACATTGGAATTCATCAGCTACTTCCATACTAAGGCAATGGATAAATTCTTGCGTTCTTTGATCATTTACTTCCAGTATTACTTCCAGGTAAGCCATTGTAATATAATGGACTTGGCATACTTGATGTATATCAATATCAAAAAACGATTATTTTTGAATAACCCCAACTAAAAACTATATATGTTCACTTTATGAGTATAAAATTCGAACGAAAACTATACTACAAAAAAAAAAAGTGCCGATTAAAGTAATGTGTAGTCCAGGCAATTGACAACATTTATAAGAGAAACGAATACATTCAAAAATTCATGTCAATGCCAGTGCCAATATCTGTACAAATATTTGCAAACTTCATCTTTTTAAAAATCCTATCCAATTCATCTTTTTCAAGTGATATTTTTTTGAATGCTTTTTATTTTTCCTTAATCCATGTTGTTTATGGCGAACACAATTACCATATTTTAATTTATTTTGTATTTATATTCCTGTCCTACCACATATACTAGCTATACCAAAGTAATTGATAAATTTGAATATAATGGTCTGTCCCTTTGCAAGGGCATCTTTTCTCATCACATATGATTCCTTCAAGCTTATCATCCTCACCAACTCATGTCTTTCAAAGTAATCCTCAACACAAATGTCGGGGATCATGCTAAGTGGTTGGGGATGGTTACAAGAGATGAGAGAGCTTTATCCACCTTTGAATCGTTAAGTGTAACATTAGTATGTTTATAAACAGTCATGTCTTATACGGTGTGTTCACCACGTAGCTGACATAACGTATGGATTTTATTATCGATTCTAGTGGAGTAATATCGAAAATTTGCTGCTTATTTCATAGGTGTATGAAAATTCAGCGTTACCCTATAGGAATACATTTGAGAATATAGTTGTTCCTCTAATTCCTAGATGAGAGAGTTGTTCCAAGACTGCAACTTGTTCCAGATTGTAACTTGAGCGTGATATTTCCAGATCATTTATATTTTAGTTCTTTTAAAATTCTCTTAGTTCATATCCAAGTTTCTGCTAAAGCTTTGAAGAAAATATTTTGTAATGTTACTTGGATTTTTTCTATATATCATGCTAACTTTTTAGGTAATCGAAATAACATTGAGTGGTGAAACCGTACTATAGGATCTTTCATTTGGCGCTTCCTATCTTTAGATTAAAGAAACAAAACAAATGGTGTGTGTATTAATGTCATTATGTGCGGAATATAACATCGGTCAAATATCCGCCACGGCTTTTCTGGGAAGAGCGCATCCGAAACGTCCAATTTTCCATGACTCTGGTGCATAAATCAGGCTGAATTTGACCGATGGCATGTGTTATGTTGGCTTTGAGTAGCGCTGTGATTTGTGGCTTTTTTTCATACACCTGTAACTTAAGAAAACCACACAAGAAAGTCTAACGGGGTCAAATCGCAAGATCTCGGTGGTCAGTTCACATCACCTCCACGTGAGATGACCATGCCCTCAAATCGCTCGTCAGAATATTTAATGTGACAAGAGATGTGTGGCACATAGCGCCGTCCTGTTGAAACCACATGTCGTTGGTGTCCAAATCATAATAATTCAGGCCAAAAGAAGTTGGTAATTATCGACCTATAGTATAGTGGTGGCCGTTAACTGGCCAAAATCTTCCTCAAAGAAATATGGACCAATGACGTCGCCAGCCCAAAATCCACACCAAACAGTGACTCTTATGGAATGCATTGGATGCTCTTGAATCTCATGTGGATTGGTATCGTCCCAAATTCGACAATTTTGTCTGTTCACGTACTCATTCATTAAGAAACTGGCCTCATCGCTGAAGATGATTTTTCGATGAAAATTAGGATAAGTTTCCAACTGCCTCAGAGCCTATTCAGCGAATACACGTCGTTGTCTATGGTCATTTAACTTTAGTTCCTGGGTCAGTTAAATTTTGTACGGGTGCAGGCTCAAGTCACGACGCAAAATTCGCCAAGTTGTCTGCGAAAGGCCGAGTTCTTTTGAACGACACGAAATCGACTGCCTCGAATTCTCCTGCACACTTTCACAGACAGCGGCGATGTTTTCGATAGATCTTGCGTTTCGTAGACGTACGGTTGTTGGTCCATCGTTTACTGAACCAGTGAATTCAATGCGAATAGTTCTTTCGGCAGGACGATTATGGCGACCGTAAAATGGGCGAATCGCGCGGTACGTTGCCTGGACAGAACCCCATTTCGATAAAACAATTTTATTGTTTGCACGTGTTGTTGAATGCTATATTCGTCCATGGTGATTTGGCAAAACAGACTAATGAAAAATAAAACTTTATATGTTTTTTGCCACTTTCATTTATAGTAATGACAACTAATTTGACAGATGTAGCTTCAACAAGAAGGCCGTTATCAATTGTCAAAGTTCGGAAGTCCCTGTTGGAAGACCCTCTATTATCATGGTGTTAACAACCAACAACTCTTATAGGAATAACATCACTCAGTCAGTTTTATTTAAGATATAAATCATGTCAACACTGCTATAACACAAACCATTCATGGACGTTTTTATAACTTTCAATCACGAAGTTGAATTAAACTAATCCGTTTCAAGACGAAGTTCAATTATCCTGTAGATGTAGATATATTCGTTATGGTTCTGATTCGTGTCTCTCGAAATCGCTGAAAATTGTTATCAAAATTAATTATACTTACTACCAAATCAAGAGATCATTCAATATATAATTACAGTAAGAATCTAAAATCTACATTCATCTTCAGCAAACCCGATATTTTTGCCTCACACAATGAAATAAATTAGCATGGCAACTCTTCTTACAAACTCGCCGTCTATGGGATTGGCAAATGATTCAAACTGTGTTCATCATCAAAGATGATGTTCTCTCTCTCTCTGCAAACGACAATTAATAATATCAAAGCCACCTATGGCTTGAAAACCAGGTTCTTCACTTCCGGATATGAGGTATTCGCGTGGGTTACTTTTGTTTGGCCAAGGCGGGGCCGATTTAGGATCACTTGAACTTTTCTCGGTGACCTTGTAGAATGCCACTGTAATACAGATTGTTTTGAATTAGACTCGTTCTACTGGTTTAGCCACGCACTTTTAACCAACCATCAGAACTTAACGATTTCTGGATGATTTATACAATATACAATTCTTTCTTCAAACTTTGAGCAGTTGGATTTTTGATGTATAACTGATGCATAAGGTATGAACTGCACGTAGGAAGTCGGTAAGGTTTATGTGATTTCGGTTAGGACCGGCATTGGTATGAACGAGAGCTCTATATAGAGCATTCAATTTGGCTGTATGGATGGTGGAGTGTGGAGCTAACTGAAACATGTATTCATTAGAGGATGTAAAAACAGCTGCTCCGACCCCTTCTAAAGTTTTGAATGCATCCGTAAAAGTTTTCGTATCTATTCAAGAAAGCATTCAAGCTTGTGATAAAAACTTGAGGATAGATGTCCTTTTTCCTATAGTTATTCAAAGATATATCGCATGGAGGTTTTATACCATCCATGGAGCAGGGTCATTGTTATAATTTATCTGTTTTTTATAAGTGTAATTGTTTTGTAATTGGTTTTTCAACATATTGTTTATAAAGATGTAATATTGTATTGCAATTGTTTTTTTTTAATTTACCTGATTTATCAGAATTAATCATTTGTCTAATTAATTTTGTAATTACCTAATGTTAAAAGACATTGTACAATAGTCTATTGTACCAGTCCAACTGATGAAGCTTCCGTTTAGCGAAACACGTCTCAAATAAAATGTTTAGTGTGAAAATTGTATAATTATTATAAGGGATAGTGTTATTAATTTTCAGTAGATTAGATTAGATTAGATTAATATGGAGCTTCTGTGCTGAACAGCCACTACACTGCGACCTTCGCAGGTCTATTGTGTGTGCCCTCATGTATGCTAGATTTCCTTGTCTAGGCCCGTCCTTGTAACTACACTCCATAGGCCAGACCTCAAGTTCCCCATATATTGAGAGGGTTTTTCCTCCCCTAATGTTGTAAACCTTATCCTTGACAGACCTTCGCAATAGCATAGTATGTGTACGGAGGTTTCCTCATCCTCTTGGCAAAGCCTGCATAGGGCTGTGTCTGCCAGTCCGATGTTGTTCATGTGTTTGTTGAGTCTACAGTGTTCCGTCAATAGCCCGACCAGAACTCTAGTTGATCGCCTATTCAGTAGGTACTCCGTGAATTTTGGCGATGGCTCTTTAATGAACTCTTTGGCCTGTCTCATACCCGGCGCCTTATTCCACCATTTTTGAGATTGTTTTTCCTTCCAGTTGCTGTTACAAGTTTTTCGCAGCGCTTTTGCTGTACAACAAAATGGTTCTGGGCCAACGGGGGAGCATCTTGCTCCTTCGCGTGCTAGTGAATCAGCCTCTTCGTTGCCCTTGTATCCTGTGTGGCCTGGTACCCAGGCTAATGACAGTCTGTTTTGACTACCTAGTTCTTGTAGCTTTTCTAGGCAGTTCCAGACCAGTTTGGAATTGACTTGCATGGAGCTAATTGCTTTTATAGCTGCTTGGCTATCAGAGTATATTGCAATAGTCTTTTCCACAAACTCTTGCCTTAGTAACTCTTCTGCGCAGTGACGTATTGCTGCCGTTTCTGCCTGGAATATCGTCACTTTTTTACCTAAGCTTAGTGAGACTTTTGTCTTTGGTTTAGTTATATAGATTCCTGCTCCTACACCTTCTTCAGTAATTTTCAGTAACAGGTCAGTGTATTCATAAACAGAGCCAAAAGCAATGTATTTATTATCGAAGACAACCATATAGCTGTTTCGAGAACAATCGCCTTTCTGTCACTCTGACAGAGTTTCTATGGACTATCTCCATTTTTAGCTTCTCGACTTTTTTCTCGAGACTTCCAGTTTTTCATTTAGAATGTTTAGCATACCATCTAATCTCTGGTACATATCAGTTTTCAAAACCATTACATTTTCACTTTGATTTAAGGTTTGGAACAAAATGCAGTTGCGTCGCAAGGAAGCAAATCGCAAACTACGCCAACCTCTGGTGACTGTCCTCGAGGACGTGATCAGAGATGACTTAGCCGATCTTCGTAGCATGGTTGCCAGAGATTACGCTGCAATATTAATGGGAATGGGAGACGCCAAAGAATTTCATCACCTTAATAAGAAGAACAATGTATCGCTTTCTGACAAAGACAGGAGGCATTTTGAAACGATAATTTTGCTGTCAGAGAGAGTTGTTTGGATTGCGTTGAGGCGAAGATATTTGTCACTGATTGGTATGAGGTTACTTTGGATAAAACCACTTTCTGAAATGATAAGAGGTTTTGAATGTGGTGATTTTCGACAAAGTTCAATAAATTGTTGATTTCTACATATGATCATTAGATAGCGCTACTGCAATGCGGAATCAAGATATTCGTAAAATATTTGCATTTATTACCTTAAAATCAGCGATAGCTTTGAAATTGACAATGTAATGTAAATCACGAATTAATTTTTTTTAATTACTCCTTTTTTAAGATTTCAAGAAAGGCCTAACTTGACAAGAATGTATAGAACCATGTATAGTGAAGCACTATAAAAAATTCTGTTTTCAATTGGTATGCAAAATCATACATGATCGTTAAGGTTTGAAAAAAATCTGTGTTCCAGATGGATTTTGCACAATTCGACCAACGCTCAAAAAATACACGGGTGCATTAGTATAAGGAAATGCTCAAAAAAATTCAACTTAACTACGAAATTATACAATATTGTTATATCTGACATAGATTTACTCGTATATACCAACAACTATGTAAAAATCCAATTTGGGTTTATCAAAATAGACCGAGTCTCACAAAAGTTTTTCATAACATAACAAATTTCAGTTTTCTTCATCTCTTGAAGTCACCAACTTAGTTCATTCAAAACAAAATATACTTATCTAGAAAAAATCTAAAATATATCAATTCAAAACTAATATTAGCTCCATTATTTGATGACTATAACTTAAATTACTTTTGCTTCAACAAATCTGCAAAATTCCATAGGTAGTAGAACTTTCATTGGAATACTAGAAAAAATGCGGTAAACAAACGCTACTATTACTTTTTAATACTACAGATTTGTTCGAGTATAAGCTGGTAAACTGTCACTTGGAAAATCACAAACACAAGCTCAATAGTAATGCAAACTTTAGGTTCGAAGTGACTATAGAGAAGAAGGTGTACAAATTTTATATCAACAAATCGAATGCAGTTGACCCTGATAAAATTAGTAACCAGATATTATTACTTTGGTGTCCTTATATATGATTCCATTCCATTTTATTACAGATATCTTCGAAATTTGTATTGAAAATACCGTATATCCTATTACTTGAAAAAATCTCACCTTGTTCCTTTGGCACAAAAAATAATAATTCGTAAAACTTCGACTTGTGTTACCTAAGTATCTTGCGCACACTAGCCATTTTTTTTAGGAAATTCTAAATGAACCAATGCATCAATTTCTTTATCAGCATTCTATGGAACTACTTAAGGTTGTGTATATTAATTCCAATGCATATTACTTGAGCAAAATAAATCAAATTCTCTTGTGACATTTCATGGATGTTTGTTTGAAGGTGGTTGACAATGTTTCGTGGTGTATTTAATCAGTTCGGACTTCCATTGTCTATATAATATAAATTGATTTGATAACCCTGAAAAAAAAATAAAAAAAATTAACCGAAAATAACAGTTTTATTAAACATGAAACTGAAATTACAAAGAAATAACATACAACAACAACCAAACAAATAAAAAATTGAAATATTAATGAAAGCTGAAAAATAAAAATTAAAAATTATTATTAACAAAAA